CACGCTCACCGAGGCTCATTAGAACAGTTGGTATGATGTTTGCTTGACAACCTAACTGTCAGGGTTTCAATTCTCGGGTAGTGGATGCGCACTGCTGATGAGTCCCAAGTATAGGACGAAACGGCCGTCCAGTGCTTTCTGCATTCTGTTAAAGTTTCTATCAAACTCGATGAATTAATTAAATATAATTATCAAATCCTCCTAATAATTTCTATCTCTCTCTCTCTATATATATATGTATATGTATATAACAGATTAGCCTACGATAGCAATTTAAACATTGGACGAATAAATAGCTTTAATTATCTTCCCAGACCAAAAGAAACTATTAAATAAACGACCTAAGCAAATACCTCCAATTTTTTACTACGTTAATAAAACGTCAAAAGCGAAAAGAATAAATAATACAAAATGAAAATGAAAAACAAGTAAAGTAAATTAACCCAAATAAATAAACAAACCACTCCCGCAAAAATAACCGCCAGAATAGATTACCCACAATACACCACTGACCCATATATATAAATAGCCGAGGAAATATCCAGCATTCGCGGCCTGACGATTGCGTCTAGCATGAAACAGACAGTCGCCTCTGAGTGTTGACTTCAATGTTCACTTATATATATATATATATATATATATATATATATATATATATATATATGAGTGGAAACAGAAAAGTTCTCCTCTGACAAAATAACCAACTAATATCTTTTTTTATGCTTAATTTTATTTTTCTATTTTATTTATTTATTTTTTGTTTCATACGCATGTCTTTGTCGGCTCGAAAATTAGGATCTGTAATATATATATATATATATATATATATATATATATATATATATATATATATATATATAGAGAGAGAGAGAGAGAGAGATACAAAGGTTGATGGAAAAAAATGCTATATTCAAACTAATTCCAAAATATTGCGTATACTTTCATCTTTTTCATATGTGGGTTAAAGATATATATACCTATATCTTCTCTTATATACCTATTATGCCCCACAGTTGTATCAGTCTCCCATGATCTCTCTCTCTCTCTCTCTCTCTCTCTCTCTCTCTCTCTCTCTCTCTCTATGCCACCATATAACCATAATGTCAAAATCAACATAGGTAAAATTTTCCTTAATTTAATGCACAAATTTTACATCAATATTCGATTGCTCAACAAGATTTTCAACAAGAACAACATTGAAATTAGCTACAGCCGTACAAAAAAAAACCTTTGTGCAGTATATAGCATAGCATAATAATTTAATGCTAAACAAATATTTAACAATTTTAATAGTAATGATATTACTGACAAAAATTCTAATTGCCCGGAATATAATAATGCCCACTTAATTCAAAATGCATAAATAAAGGTGTAATTTACAAAGCTAGCATTGAGCATAATAGTTAGACTAAATATTATTTTGATTTCACTGCTAACCATTGGGAAAATTGGTACTACCATCAAAAATATTTCTGGCAAATCAAGACAGGTAATTATACACCTGTAGTCAATCTAGTTCTGTTTTGCATACTTTTATTTTTATCAAGATATTTTGAATATTGTCATTCATCGTTTCGGCTTAATCTGTGTATCCCATGTCTCGTCTTTTTTTATGTCTCTGGATTGGAATCACATTTCCCTCGTGTTGTTGACGATATTGAATACAAAATATACGTAGAAATGCCTGGTCACTGAGAATTCTAACTCACGGCTAGCGCTGCAATATTACACTAAAAGCAAGCGATTTACTTCTATCTACGATAGATAGTCATCGCCATTGTGAACGTCGGATTTAACACTACATGGTGTCTATCAGTTTCACGCTGCAACGCGAGACGTATATGGCTATAAACAGAGATTATCAAGTCTTCCACTATAAATATAGCAAGACTTAAACAACAAACACACGTGCACGTACATATATAACCCTCTTTTTTTTTCACCCTTATATGTTTTATAATCCTATGTTTGGACATAACTAATGACTTAAGACAAGTGAAGAATGTGCTTTTTTGTTGTTTTCACTTAAACAAAAGACATTTATTAATAAAAATCTTAAATGGACAAAGATTACCACAGGATATGGGTTGTGCTTGTTGGGAAAAAAAATGAATTTCCCGAAGAGATAATTCTCAAGGGATTTTGTTGATTTCTTTTTCAGTTGCTTTCCTTTATCAAAGCTCCAACAATAACAGGAACAATTTTAGTTTTTAAGTGTCACATTTCTTCCATTTTCAGGTCTTTGTTTACTTTTTCAAAGATCTTTGCAGAGATGTTTTTGGTACGCTTATATCAATGTGCCAGTGTTTTCTTTTTCTGTCTTTGATAATAATGTCTGGGAAATTTGCTTGTATTGTTTGGCCTGTGTTGATAGAAAAAAGGATAATAACATCTGCTGCCTCAACAACGGATTCAGGATGATGGTCATATCAGTCTGTGGCTGTTTTTATCTTGTTGTGACGACAGATCATCCAATGAAGATATTCACCTACTCTCTCGTGAAAGTTTGTTTTTTATCATTATGTATAAGTGATGAGTACCCTGAGATAAGGTGATCAATAGTGTCGTTATTATTGTTATTATTATTATTTTTATTTTCTTTGATTTCTGGAGTTTACATTTCTTTCCGGGTCCCGCCCAGGGACCTAAGGTTAGAAATGGCATCTTTTTTCCACTGACAAAAAAAATTACATAGATAAAGCCCTTCGTAAAGTGTGTGCTGTACTTGTCAGAAGAATTTTTTGTATCTCCTTGAGGCATGGACTTCCAGGAATCCCTTCAATTAGTCTACTGCAATCTTTGCCAACCAGTTCTAGGGCTCCAACTACAATAGGGATTGTTGATGTTCCCATATGCCACATTTTCGAGATTTCTATTTCATGGTCCTTGTTTTTTGACAGCTTTTATTATTATTATTATTATTATTATTGCTGATCTGAATTATTCGAACTGGTGTCTTTCTTTTGGTTTTTATAGCTATGAGGTTTCAGCCGTTGTACATCATAGCCTTCTTCCGGTGTATGTCGTCATTGCTAACCTTCCAAGAATTGAATAAAGTCTTGGTTCCAATTTCTGCAAAAGATTACCAATTACGACAAACATCTAAAGAAGGGCTGAGACTACAACAGCCTAAATATTATGACGCTAACAATCAAAATGAAGATACTAGTCAGTATACATCAGTATATAATAATAATCTTCGACAATCGATGTTTTGTTTTTTTTTGTTTTTTTTCGTATTCGTTCAGTAGATTACCTCGCCATGGAGCATTATTACTGCAGTGATAAAGATTTTCATTGTGTGTTCCACATTTTTCGCCATTGGACATGCTGAGTTTTCAGAACTTTTTCTCTATCTCGATCGAATATGTTCAACATTCTTTTTTCTGAAATTAAACTTCAAAAAGTTAAATTCAGTTTTCAATAATAATATCAAAATATTTTGAAAATGATGATTCCGTCATGTTGAGTATCCCCACTCCGAACTAAATACATACACATATCAATAAAGAATATAGAGAATTTAATAAAGAATTCTTTCTTCAGGAGACGATTTTCAGTATCTGAAATGGAGTCGATATTTTAAAATAAGGCTTCATATAAGCAATATAAGCAGCGTTCATTGTTACTGGCAAAGTTTCGACAATTATTCACTTAAGCGGCGTATAATAAACTGCTATTCCCTGAATGGCGTAAAATCGACGAGACTAAGTTATATACGTTTATTTCAGTATCTGTCTATATTTCTGAGATGAGTTATTATGTACACTATTTACATTATTCGGACTATTATCCTCATCTTTGTTGCCATATTTATTACAACGTTTCGGCCTTTCAGTATCTGTCTATATTTCTGAGATGAGGTATTATGCACACTATTTACATTATTCGGACTATTGTCCTCATCTTTGTCGCCATATTTATTACAACGTTTCGACCTTTCAGTATCTGTCTATATATCTGAGATGAGCTTTTATGCACACTATTTACATTATTCGGACTATTATCCTCATCAAGGACACGTAGCACAGTGGATAAAGACGTTGGTCAGATCCAGTGACAAGACCCCAGGCAGTGGAGAACTTGAAGAGGGGAATTAACTGGAGATAACTGACAGTCATTAAAACATGGCAACAAGAACAGTCTACTCCAGTAAGCGAAATAAAGGGTTCAGTTCGGCATTCCAACTACCTGAAGAAGGCCGGAGTTTACAACGGCTGAAACGTTATAATATGGCGACAAAGATGAGTACAATAGATCGAATAATGTAAATAGTGTTCGTGTATTTCAATTAAACATTATCACAACGGATAATGGTGGGTTACATAAGAAATACATGCTGAAAACATTGTTTTACTAGCGTTGTCCAGGTGTGATTCATGCTGGATGTTATTCTCCGCCATGTTGCAACTCCAGTAATAGACATAACTGATCCGTTGCATGTGAGACAACCTGTTTGTTTATCAAAGAATTAATCACCTCTGACACTTCGAAGATGTTTACATGATTTTCAATACCGGCGATAACGATATGTTGCATCTTGGTAAGCATTTAGCCCAAATAGCTTGTCTGCACTGGTTGCAACGTCGGCTGTTTCTAATGAGCTGTCGTTCTACAGTTATAAGCTCCGCTAAGATGATTGCCGAACTCCATCAAGCACCAGGCTTCATGCGAAATATCTTCTCTAGATAATAATTCAACGATTGACCTTGGGTCACTTGCTCTACCACGTGACATGGCTGAAATGAAACAGGAGAATTTATTTTATGTCGTTTAAGCAAAGCAGGACTTTGACAAATTATTTGACGCTGCTTTTATCAAGGATTATCAAAATCTCTACCTGGAATTTATCGATCGGAAAATACTGAAAGTCACCGTAGAATTGTTTTGTCAGTCTTCGTAGTTGTGACATATCTTCTGTAGATTAGCAAACGCAATGGTTACTATGTCTATTCAGAAAGAAAATGGAATTGATTTCAGCTTCAATAAGCACATACAAGCTTACAGCACCTGCTATTCCCAAGAGGTCACCCTACTAGGTACTGAGCAGGCTCAACGTTGCTTAACTTCGGTGGTCGTACGTGAACCAATGTTTCAACGTGATATGACCGTAAGACTAGAAATATGAATAAAACTCACCAATTTCCAACCAAATAAAAATGTCCCTTACTACGGTTCATCAGTCACCTCTTCTCCATTAATGATGCCAAACAATTCAATAAAATGATGCAACAGGTAACCCATCTAGGTACTAACCAGGTTCGATGTTGCTTAACTTCGGTGATCGTACGCGAACCGAAAGCAGTCCAATGGAAATTTCATCAGCACAAATCATTAGAATTGTTTTTATTCTGAAAATGAAACACCGGAAAATCGAAAAAAAAATAGATAATTAATGAGAGTTAAATGAAAATCTGTTAGTAAGTCATTGTCGACAGGATGTGAACCAGCAAAGAATTTGAGTAAATAAACCTAACTTCGCTTCAATAATTCACGACTTACAGAATCACTAAGACTGTCTTCAAAATTTATTCCAATAAAAGTTGTTAAGAGTAGCACTCCACAAATTCTATAAAATGTAGTAAATTCTATGACATTTAATGTCTGCACTTATTTTAGCGACAATTAAATACTTTAAAAAGATGGTGATATATTGCAAAAGGTAAAAAGCATACATATTTTTAACTTTGATGAAATTCATTAGTGACAGTTTAGCTCAGTAGCCATTAAGTCTTATCGATGATGAGAAATTCACTTCAACAATTTTCGTTTTGAAATTTTCAATTTTAAAATTAAAAGCGTCATATCTTTTAAGTAGCACTTCATATTAAATTGCCAGAGTTATAACTGAAATAAATGCGTGACGTAGGAAAATTAAAGAGATTATTTACTAAATAGTAATGCCTTTAATGATAGTTATGATGAAGTGAAAAAATAATGGTGATGATGATGATGATATACAAAGGACGATGTAATAATAATAATAATAATTAAATATAGGAATGTGGCATGTCAAGTGTTGTAACCTAGGGAATGTTACTGAATAGAATAATCACACGAAGTTTGGTAACGAGCGATAATACATAGGACAAGAACAACATATGTAAGATTCGCCAGCGGCGCGTAGAAGAAGTAGTCAACTGTGAGAAGTGAGTCAAGTGAATTCCACAATAAATCTCTAACTGCAGGATATCTACCAAATGTGACACAAGGCCAAATTTAATGTAGGTAATGTGAGCCCTTAGGCTCGGCCAAAAATTCCCTGTACACCCCATATAAAACAGGGTCAGGTAGCTGTTTTCCGAGACGAGACTCTGCCCTTCAACATAGTCTCGTCTGCGGATCCTCTCTGCCCGGAGGCACAGAGTTTGACCAACACAGCTGGAGACAAATATCCGACTGAAGACCAACATACAGTATTTACTACTGTATTTATGTGAATGGAGGCTTACACATTATCGTCCGTAGGTATGATACGATATCAAGACAACATCACCCGTTTGTACAGGGTTATTCAATAATAAAGAAAGCCAACAACTTCAAAATAGAGTTTCAAATGGGCACAGAAATGCAAGTAAAGCATAATAAACAGACAGTAGCTGGAAAATATGTAAAGAAAGAAAGCAAAGGCAAATGTAAACGACTAGATACAGAAACGATGGCAAAATAAACTGCTTCACGGTCAATAACCTGCTCGTAACAAACAAACTGATGTAGACAAACCCCGTACCTATTAGTGGCTACGTAGTGCAAAGTTAAAAGCTAAAACCGAAGGTTTTATTCTTGATGCACAGGGCAAATGCTTGCTAACTAAAAATTACCAACCACACATACTAAAAACTAAATTAACTCAAAAGTATCTCGGAACAGTTGACCATCTTGTGTCAGATTTGCGGTAGGGGCACCTAATGAATATAAAACCGGGCATGACAGAGTGGGTCAATATCTACATTTGAAAATCTGCAACTTTTACGGAAAGGAAACTGAAAGAAATTGGTATGAACATCACCCAAACCCGTTTCCAGAGATAGGGCCTATAACAATTTTATGGGACTTTACAATACACACTGACAGAACAATCAAAGCTAATTGCCCGTCATCATGATTTGAGACCGCGAAAACAAAATGTGCCTTCTCATTGACACGCAGACTACAATATATCCTTGAAGGTCTTTAAAAAACTATCAAAAATGTGGCACATGAGGCCATCAAAAATTCCGGTTGTAGTTGGAGCCTTCGGATTGATTGGAAAATATTCCAATAGTCTCATTGAAGGAATTCCTGGTAGACCATGCCTTAAAGAAATACAAAAAATTGTTCTCACAAGTACAGCCCATACCTTACTAAAGGCTTTATCTATGGAAAATATGTGTGATTTTTGTTTTTTTAAATTTTCACTGGAAAATGTTATGATGCCATCTCTGACCTTAGGTCTCTGGTCGGGACCCGGAAAGAAATGAGTAGACACCAGAAATCAAAGGAAATATTAATAATAATAATAATAATAATAATAATAATAATAATATAAAAGCACTTCGCAAAAAATACCGCAAATAATAAAGACATGAAAATAAGTCATTAATAGTGAGGAAATGACTGATGAACAGAAGCAAGGGAATTTAGTTTGGAAATTGGTGAGTTTTATTCATAGGACGAGGCTTACGGTCACATCACGAATCACTGGTTCCAGTACCTTCACAAAAGTTAAGCAACGTCGAGCCTGTTCAGTACCAAGACAGGTGACCGCTTTGAAATACCAGATGCTGTCATCTTGGATGTGCGGTTGGTGTAATAGACAATGGCTCCGAATTGAAAATCGGAGAGCCGAGTTCCAATTCCAGTTGAATTCGTTATCAACAGAAATAAAATAATAATTTAATAAAAAATATATAAGATTATTGATAACTTATTTGTTCGCATAAAACTTTCTATATCTACAATCTTTATTCATTCGTTCATTCATCTGTTCGCTAAGTTATTCAGTTGTTTAGTCATTGAACTCGTCGAAAATATTTAGCCTTATCTTCAACTAACTTTCTCATAAAAATATCGTAGTTTTTCTAAGAAAAAATTTCTTTCGAAATCTCTACAATTATCTTAGTAATTCTAAGGAATCTAGGTCTTTTCAATAATTCGCCCCCCAAAATAGCATAGACGAAAAAGGGTCATAAACTTAATAAAAACGAAGTTTTACTTTCAAAATGTTTATGCTGTTATTAAGAGAAAAGACCAAAGTATGCGGTCACGTAATATTTAATATTAGTTTTTTTAGCGCTTTATCTATTGAAAAACACAATAATTTGGAAATTCTTGAAAAATCAAAATAATTGTCGAATTTTAATGAAACTTTCAGAACCTATTAAAAAATTAATGAAATTATTCTAGAAATGTTTGTTTTTTTAGAAAGCCATGGCAAAAATATGTTTTTACGTCTGTTACCCCCCTACTTACTTTCTTTTATGAAAAGTTGAAAATTCTACTTTCAATTTTAAATACAAAATATCATGAAGTTGTTAAGTATCTTAATTTAAGTTTGAATATGTGTCTTTTTGGAAGTGATCTTATTAAAAAAATCTATTTTTACAGACCTTAAATTTGAAAGCTTCTTGCTGCGAAGCGTTAGTATTTTAAATATAATTTTAATATGTCAAAAAATGTATTAAAAACTACGGAGGTCCAATTCAGAAATAATATCACGGGTTTCAAAAGTTGGTTTTCCTGATAGCGAGGATCCGGCCTCATAAATTGCGTTGATTTCGTGTCAAATTCTCTGATTACCGACCATCATCGTCGCAACTTCATTTTTTTTTTTTTTTTTTCATTTAATCCTGCAATAGGTAGCCACTGATGAATACGGGGTTCGTCTACATCAGCTTGTTTGGTACAGGTTGATTATTGACCGTGTGGAGGTTTATACAGCCATCTTTTCTGTGTCTGTTCGGTTGCATTTTATTTCTTTTTGAAGTATTTTGCAGCTTCAGTCTGCGTATTATGCTTTCACCCATTTGAGACTCCATTTTGAACTTGTTGACTTCCTTTATTACTGAATAAAGTTTCTTATTTCTTTCATGTTCTTTGACACAGATCACCACGCAGTCTTCTGTAGTTTACTGGTATCTTTTTATTTATTTAATTTTACTGATGTTGCTGCTGCCCCAGTTAATCAAATTAGTTGTTAACTAGCAGCATGGCCCGGCGTTGCCCGTGCTTGATTCAAAAATCGTACGACTCATACAGCAATCGCTATCACTTGACTTAAAATATTTTTGCCCTTCCTTGCCTTTAAAGGAGTGCCCTCTGACGTGCTGATGTTGCTACATGCCTTACTTCTTGCCTATCTCACACTGCGAATTTTTTCTAAGCTCTATACTAAACATTAAATCTGTTACGAAAAAAAGAAGTAAACAAAATGAACACAAAACGATCAGCTTTAAAAAAAGGACTCATAACTGGAAAAACGAATGAAAAAGAATGTTAACAACAAATACTTTTTCACACCCAACCCAGTTCTGCGGAATCAGAATCAACGTTGATTTTAAGCAAGCGAATGAGCCAATTGGAGTAAAGTGCCATGCAGATTTAAATTTTTCCCACTTGTGACGAATGCAGCTATCGATTTTTTTTGCATGCTAGTTAACATTCGTATCAGTCAGCTGTTGGCTCTCTCACGCTGGTCAATAGAATCTCCCTGCCTATTCGTGGCAGCCAGCTACTGGCTCTGACTCTGGCCAGTAACATATGGCCGCAAACTACATGAAAACTGCCGTAGAAGCATGAAAAAATCGATTATTTCCACTATCGATGGGAGTTGGGAAATGTAAAGTCGGTCTTGGCCTTCCCGCTATCTTGGAGCATGTGCATGTAAATTTTGGTGCAAACCGTCGAAAATTGCGGCCGTGCATTCGTTACACACACACACACACACATACACACACACGCACACATACACACGCACACACACACTCACACACACGCACACATACACACACACACACACACACACATCCTGCCTTTTATAGATAGAGATTAATTAAAAAATATTACTGTTGTTGCCTACTATCACTAGCCCTATTATTATTATTTTAAATTTCACATACGTGATATGTTATTCTTC